GTCCGACGATGACATGCCGGCACGACAAAGGTGGCTCGTTGTTTGGAGTCTTGCACCATGACAATAGTGCGATGTTGATCGGGTGATTATGGTTCTATGGCAGTGGCAGCCCGATGACAATGACCCACCATAGAGGTGGTGGTTTGGACGATGGTGGCTTGATGGTGATGCAAGGGATCTGATTACTATGGACATGATAGTTCAACATTGGCCCAACATCAGTTGTTTAGTGACAGCAACAGGTCGACGCCGATGGTCCAGCACGGGTGTCGGTGGTTGAGCATCTAAGGTACTGTGATGGCTGTCCAACGGTGGTTTCGGCAGTCCAGCTAGGACGATCCAACATGGCTGTGGTGACCCTATGACAATGGTCCTGCATTTTAGTGGTGTCTCACTGTCAATGGTTCGATAAGGCTGATTTTGCTTGATGTCAGTCGGGTGACAATTTTACGGCGATGTTTGCTTGATGGCGATGACAGCATGACGACGATGGACCGATGGTGGTGGCGATCAAGATTACTCAAGAGATTAGAGTTCCCCTCAATCTTCTCATTTTCATCTTTCTCGCATGCCTATTTATCATTTTTTTTAGTAACATCCTTTATAAGTACTACATGAATATGGATCACTCCATCAGAAAAATCAGAGTGATTCTTTTGATCGTATATAGTTTTATGATTGTTTGAATGCCTTAATTATGTCAAAATTAATGGATCTTAGACTCATTGGATTTTTCTTATCGAGACACTCGATTTGACTACTAGCTTGCCAGATATAAAGATTATTTGATCCCAAAAAATATGTTTCGAAACTTTTCTTTATATTTTAAGTATATTATCTAGACTCCTTTGGACTTAAATCAGATCATTTTTTATGTCATTTAGAAACAAGAGCACACTCCATGTTAATATATATTTCTAATAAATTCAGATAAGACAGCATTTAATGTGACACATAAAGGATTCTTTATGGATTAACACAGTTTCCACTCCACCTCTTTTCCCCTAGCCAGTCGCCTATACCTTATTCTTTTACGATTAGGAGAAGAATGAAGCACGCATCCTTGTGGATTGGTGAGCTAAAACCAAGGGTTTTGGCTTGGAAGCTTTTTCCAAGTAGTGGGAATTGCTTAGGTGAGGTACAGCTAAGATGTATAAACCAAACTATGTAATTAGGAGGATAAGAAGATTTTTTGTATGAATTATTCCTCCATATCATTAGGTAGGGGGGTGAATGACAAATATATATGGACCAGACGCAAACATGTAGCAGTCCAAAGATCCTTAGCCTTTGACATTAGAGAATCTCTACAAGAAGATAATTATCTTAATTAAGAAGCCTTAATTGGATAAGTGTTACATTCCAAAGCGTTTTAAATCACCTTTTTTTTTGTTTCTCGTCGTTTCGTCCGATTCGATGGACCGAAGCCATGCGTTATGGGCAGCTCATGTAAATACTATTAATTATCTTTTAGTTAGTCATGAGTGCTATATGTTTAAAATAGTTGCTTCTAATATTCGTGAGTTATAAATATATCATATTTATATATTTTTTTTTCATTTAATTATTTTTTTAAGATGACAAATGAAGTATGATTAACATTTAATAGTTTTAAATTTGCTAAAGCTATTGTAATTCATTCAAATTATCTAAATTTATTCTAAAAAAGAATCATGTGCGAAACTAAATAGGCTTTGCAATCAAGTCTTTACGATTGGAAACAAAACTCTTAACCATTAGTCTAAATGTGTTGCATATTAAATTCATTAATTCTAGAATTTAAATTTATCTAAATCAAAACTACTTATTTTATAAATTAATTAATCATATTTTTAGAAATGATTAAATACCTTTTTTTAACATCATCACTATACATAAATAAATAATTTAGTTTTCTAAGAAAATTATTGCAGCTATGTATACTCATTGCTCGCCGTCATGGACCATAAGGTACGTTAGCTGATCTCATGGGTCTAGAAGGCTCTGTTTTCTTTTCTACAAAAAGGATTCAGTTACCACTATCTATCGAGTCCGCTTGTTGTATTTGTATGTTGAGCTTGCTTGCTGAAATGATCTGTCAAACTCGTTTGTTGAAGTAGTCGGTCAAGCCTTTCATGATTATTCTTAGTGATTACAACCCGCCAACATGAGAGATGTCACTCAAGGATAAACTCACGTCTGCATCAATTTAAGAGTTTCATGATAATCATGTCTTCTATTTCTCACAAGGACATCATGACATATATTGTATCATAGGTGATGGATAAGAGACTAAGAGATGTAAGTTAAGGCACCTCCTATCTTAAAAGGAAGGGAAGAAAAAACATGATCTCTACTCCCTCTCTAATTTTCTCATCTCTGGTTCAATCTCTTGCTACAAGATCTGATTTAGTCCCGGTGAAAGGTGAGGCCCGTTTGAGGTGACAATCCGACGAAGTAATCGAGATCTTGTAAAATAAAAAATGTGGATCAAACGACACTATTGTAAAATAAAGGTGACTGACGACAATGTTGTAGACGTCTGATCAACATCCTAACAACAAATTTAACTCATAATGCAAAGCATCAAAAAGCCAGTCTCAAAGCTCAACTTTGATCAAGCTCTAGAGGTGAGTCCCTGCCAATAATGACAAGTTTCACGAAGGGTAAGTTGCAAATCACCTCAGTAACGAGTCTCAGAGGTTCCCCCCGCGAAGGCAAAGACATGATCTACCTAAGTCCTGGCGAAAGGTAAGGTCTGACTGAGATGAAAAAATCGACCGAAGCAAAGTGAGTCAGGCAATGTAAGACCTATGTCGAGTTGTGCAAATTAAGAAACAACCGACGATCTTATCTAAGGCCCGAGTCATCAAGCAACACAAATATTCATCACCAAGCAATTATCAATAGGAAATAACACAATAAAGGTAAAACAATAAAAAGAGGAAAAGGCTTGAAAAATAACTGAAAAGCTTATTCATTTCAAATTGAAAATATACAAGTATTTTCTATACACAAAAGATATCATTTACACTATATTAACTAAAAAAAATTTTCTAGGAAAATCTTTAAGTATCAAGAAGCCGGCTGGAAGATCTTACTTCGTTTTCGGCACCCGAATCATTCTCAAAAGACCCCTTGGAGCCTGTATAAAGGGAAGCAAATTTATTTAAGGCTGTGAACTTTGGGTTCAACCAAGCCCGATCAAATGAATCTATCGGTTGTTGTGATGTTGAAGACTCAAAGCTGCTCGCCTATTATCTTTTCCTGCCTCGAGTGAGAAGGGAGCATCTCAAAGAACTCATCAATCTTCATTATCATCACTTATGCCTTCAACTCCTTTTCTCTTGCTCGGCAATTAACAGAAAATCTGAGAGAGTAACAATCTCCTCCGTTGCAGTCAGTTTCTTCTCGGCTATCATGGCTTGCTCTTTAAATTTCTTCGTAAGCTCGGATGAGATCTCAACCCTTTCTAAGGTGGTGGCCCACTTCATCTCAATTTAATCTAGTGTCATCGATTCCACACCTTTTGGTGATTTTGAACAGCCTTCTTATAAAGTTAGGGTCGCTCAAGAGTCCAAAGAGACGTAGCAATTCCACGTGGTCATATCATTTCCACAAAGGCGAAAAGTTAGACTTTGAACGACGATGAACCTCATACTAGTCCACATCCTGGTCAATGGATATGTATCAATCATCATAAGAATTCCAAATCAGTGGGAACCG